TCCTACATGCTTTGTCACTTGTGAGAAATTACAGCTCTTGAAAATATGTGGCACTTCAGCTGTTGCTTCTTGAAATTAATGAAATTGCTTCCATTCATCGGAGCCTCTGTAGAAAGAGCAATGTTGGCCTGTGGCTAACAAACTTTCTACTTCGGACAGGTTGCACTGTTGCCCAGGCTTATCAGAGGGGCTGCATCTTTCTGCAGACAAATTAGACTTTATGGCTTTTGGTTTGGTCTTCGCAAAGCATTCAGTGGCTGAACAGACTTGATATATATTTTTTGGGTTAGCAGATTGGCTTTACATTGTGAGAGTCAATGATGATTACAGAGATCTTAATCTTATATTGTAGTACAATACAACAAATTCCTATTTCAAAGGAGGCTTTCATAATGTGGGTGTACTACTCAAATTGCCTGTTCTCTGATCTAAGCCCCAAATAAAACTAATTGTCACAGCAATCCTTATATCCTGGTTCCCTCCTCATATAATAGCTATAATAAAAACAAACTTTTAGTATCAAAAATCTACCTCTTTGTCCAGTTGCATTTTCCTTCATGTCAGAGGTTAGTGAGATAGTCATAGAAGAGTTGGGTAAAGGTTAATTTTCTTCTCCTGTTTACTGGCTAACCTTAAAATCCCGGACATTAGAGGAAGTAAAGAGCAATTTCAAAGTCATTTTGCTGAGAACTCTGAGGATACTTCATTATTGTTATTATTATTGCAATTGTTAATGCTTTCCCCCCTATGGATATGTAGAGCATAGAAATTGTTATGGCCAGCGTAGACAGACTACACATTTGTGCACCAAAGATCAGATAAGATTTTAAAAGCTAGTGATTTTGTAAGTGTCTGAAGGAAGACAGAATGAAACTGTTGAGCTTCATAGACTTCATTTAAAAAAAATACAAGAGATAAGCAGGAACCTTTGTAAGTCATCAGGAATGAGTGTTCTTTCTCAGCTGATTACTAAGGCACGCTTCACCTAGAGTAATCAATACGTTATAGTCCCAGCAAAAATTGTACCAGGAAGTGGTCAAATATGCTTAAAGAATGGTCAACACCTGAGGTAAATGTCTCTGGGTTCCTCTGAGATCTGATAGTCTGTCTTCAATACCAGTAATGCAGCAGTTGTATGCAAAGCAAGCCTGTCCTCTTATGTCCTACAACCATACTCCTTCTTATGCTCTTAAAACCACCAAATTCTCCTCACAGAGAATGCCACTCTCAAATGACTTCAGCAAAGGCCAGACATAACATGGAGAACATATTAAAATTTAACATGTGAATTTGGCAGAATCGTATTGGCATTTGTTTCCTATCTCCTCTCCATGCAAGCACCTTTTGCTGCCTTACAAAAATTCTGTAGAATACAAATGCTCTTAGGCACCTCAGAGCCAGTAGCTGTACAGCTGAACCCAATCCATCTAACTGTTTCTAATAACAGGGAATACTGCAGTTGACATTTGGGACAGTCAAAGAGCTCTTTGGGCATGCTATATCACAGTGTGTAAGGAGCACAGGCTCAACAACACCACAAGCTTTCTGGCCTCTAAACAAGCTGCAAGCCTAAGAGCGGCCATGTCTCTTGTGCAATGCACCTGCACCTGTAACAACCCTAAAGCAGCCACAGTTCAGTATATTGCAGCAATTCCTATTGACAACAGAGCTCTCCCAAAAAACCATGGCTTAATGGGCTGCTTGGTGTCAGCCCCATGACTTTTCCATCAGTTAAAATGGTTGTGGTTAGCTGCACTGCTGGCTGGGGTGTACTTGGCCTCCATGTTTTCTTTCCAGGGTTCACAGCTCTCAGTCATTGCACCGCACAGAACATCATTCACTTACATCTTATCTCAGAGCCAGGATGGACGAGGCCCCAAGCACTCTGATTGAGCTGTAGGTCCCTGTTCATGGTAGGGAGCTGGACCAGATGACCTTCAATGCTCCCTTCCAAATCAAATGATTCTGTGATTAGGACAGGAATACATACCACAGTTTTAAATGCCATGCTGGCCATTCCCTACACGCAACTATGGAGCAGGTGAAGTCTGTAAATTCTTGCCCTCACTCGTGATATTTTGTTTACACATTTTGTCAGATCCTGCCTCTGTACCAGGTCTATGGCTATGAAGTCCCCTTACAATTCCCAGCAATGCTTGACTAATGTTCCTGCCCATTAACCCCCGTAAGCCTTAATGAGCTTAACTTCTATTTGTCCTTACTCATTTAATCCATAGACTATCACTAGTTCTTACAACACTCTGGATTTTACTCTTTTTTTTTTTTTTTTTAGTGGTAGCTAATTAAAGAATAAATGCTGGATTAAAAAACAAGACCAGAAAAATCCCCAGAAAATAAATGCACGGAACTGCTGTACCGTACCAAGTTACTAGAAATGAAAAAACTTTTACTACATCCTTTTAAAAAGCAGCACTTTCAAAAGCTGTATATATACACCTGCATGTGTATACATATACTTACACCAGAGAACATAATTCATTCACCTTTGTCAACTGGGCAGGGGGAGAATGCTAGCATCCACGTACAACACAATCACAACCTTCATCCCAAGTGCCCATGAGAATTTTATGAATACAAATATTGTGCAGGAGTTATTTCAAACACTGCTGACATGAACGCAGCCATCTCTGCAGCAGTAGAAATAAAACCACCCAATAGCACTTAGTAAATATTCATAGGGGCACACAAACAATAATAAAAGTAAAACAGAGTATAGTATTCCTACACGTAGGAAGACAGGACCAGCAGGTGCCTTATAATGGAACTAGGACTAGCAGCCTCATCTCACCATCTACATTCACACTGAGGAAAGATCTATGGCCAGGCAGCACTTAAGGATGTTCAGTGAGTCCTACAGGAGCCAGTACACAGCTACTGAAATACTTGTTTCTTTTTTTAATGGCTGTATGGGAACTATTGAGTCACGGCCTGAACCACTGGTTGAGCAGCTGGGGAAAGGACCCAGTCAGCCCTGGGAGCACAGGTGAAGGCAATTCAGCTGTGTGACTAGAAGGGGTGGAGACTGGCTGCATCTCTCTTAGACCCATTTAAGGACTGACTGTCACTGGGGAAGGATCTCTTTCTGGAGATCCCTCCCTGGTAGACCTTCCTCCTACAGACCTACAATCTTCTGATACAGGTTAGCAATCTCCTTCCCTTCCTTTATAGGACCTTTCTACTGCGCCGATTCTTCCATCGTTACACCACTGGTGGAACATCTTCTCCCATCATATTGATCTCTCCAATTACTATAGTGAATGACCTTTTTTGTGATGTTGACTATAGAGCTCAGTTCAATTGCCTCTTGTATATTGCAATCTCAAACCATAGCTAAATGTTCCCAGAATTAGGGTACTTCCTTAGTTGTACTGCCAGAGATAAGATTCTTGTTGATGACAAAAATTACTTTATAATTTGAATATTATTTTTCTTAATTGCTATAAATGTCACTGCAGTTAATAGATGACATTCAGACTCTCAAAATTATTTAAAAGCCTAATGCCAATTTAGTTCCTTAATTCTCACTGGTTTCACTGGGAATTAGAGAGCAAAATACCTCTAAGAAGCTGGGCTCTAGTCCCTGTCAGAAAATTAACATATGCCCTCAAGAAAGATTATAAATTATTTGATATGAAATATGCCAAAGTCAATGACTTTATGTTTTATAAATGGAAGATTTGTTTCAAAAGCTTGAAACCTTTTAAAGCAACACACAGTTTCTGAAGACATGATCTCATTATTCCTTAGCCAGCTTCAGAGAATGCTATATCTATGCACACAGCCACAGATACTTTATCTATTTATCTACATATACATATAGATTTAGAAACAGGCTATTAACACTATATTGTATTCTAAGAGAATTTGGAAAAGGAATGTGTCCAACTCAATAGACTATGTCTCCAACTCTTATTTTGCTTAATGCTTTTCTAGATAGAACATTCTGTTTAACTCCAGAAAACATCGTGTTTAACATTAAGTTCAGCTCCTATAAAAAATTATTGCAGGTCAGAGTAACTCAGATTGTATTGAATACATCTAAAACTAATTGATTTGACACAGAAGACCAAAACATCTCAATTCAACGTAACTACAGAAAATATCAGAAAAATACACAGAATATCTCCCAGAAGCACCAAGTTAGGCCAAGAAATAAGACAATGTGCTTTTTTTCCCCAATTTTTGTTCAGAAATTTTCAGTTTTCTGCAACTCTGTTTCCAATAGAAAAAGAAAGGAAAGAGTTACCAGAAACCCTAAAATCTGACAGATGCTGGGGGTGAGCAGCAGTTGGACTGAGGGCTTTTTGTGCACATAATAACTCAGTGCTCCAATTACAAAGCTCCTCAAGTTGTAAAAGCAGCTAAGTATCTACTTTTGAGCTGCTGGAAAATGAACCTGTGTGAAATGCAAGTGGAAAAATTGTTAATTGAATTGTTAATTCAAGCAAAGGGAACAGACTCCTTAGCAGGAGATCACAGCCCCTTGTTGCTGGAATTTAGAAGTGGTGCACTTAGAATAATTTAGGGTATTGAGTTATTTCTTTCTGAGGTATTGAGTTATTTATTTCTATAGTCAGATTAGCAGGTTTTCTAGTGATCGTTCTAGTGATCTGAAGCCCAGAAAGTCTCAGGGAGTAGAAGAAACTTGACAAAGATAATGGATAGGAAACATCAATGAAAGTTCAGGCATCTCAACATCCAGGCTTTGTCATAGTTTCTGAGCTTTGCTGACTATCAGGGAACATTAAAAAAATAAAATAAAAAATCACTGCTTACAAAAACAGGCTCGAGGAAAGTCAGTAAACCTTCCATGAACAACTATCTGATAGAAAAAGCAGCACAGTTGCCACTTTTGCGCTAAGGGCTGAGAAGTTTTTCCTGGTGTTTTGCTCTCTGCCATCTTTCCCATTTGACTCATATTCCCTTCTTACCTTTCCTGTGCTGTCAGCAGAAGCAGTGGCTTGCTTTCTTCTTTGCCTTCTGATGTCGACACAAACCATGTACAGCAAACTTCAGGTTTAGTCCAGCAGAGGGTTACAGAGCCACAGTATGATAGCCAGTCTGCAAAACACAAAATGACTGAACTCGTGCCACAGCATGAAGCATGCCTAAATGTCATTTCCAGCTGGTGAGCCCCTTATGGGAAGATATTTACTGGAAGGGGAACCAGTGAACAAGAAGTCTTTTTGTTCATAAAGATCCTCATTCTCTTTATTTGGGGAAAAATCTCTGGTACACAAGAATTGGGTATGAAGGAAACAGGAAAAAACACGGGGTATGATATTGGATAATCAACGTAATAGCTAATTTACCTGTGTGAGGTTGGAATATTTTGGGTAATGGCACCACAGACTAATTTTGATTATTGAAAATAATACTAAAGATGTGGTTAAAAAAGGGATGTAAGATATTCTATTGCTTCTCTCAATCATATGGGCACCAAACGTTTGATTCCTTTGACATCCACCAGTAGAAGAGAGCAGCTGAACAGTAAAAAGCGTAATTTCCATTTAACTACAAAGATAACTGCTGACCTATTAGAATTTGCAGAGTATGTTTATATTATTCAATTGTCTGACTTTCCTGAGGAGTACATATTTTCCCAATCTCAGCTACAGTTCATATGAACTCTATTGCCTACCAACTAATTTACTGATATGGAGCTTTCAAGTGTTTAATTGGAAATATCTTCTCCTCTGCTGTCACTCTATTACACTGATACAGAAACTTCATACCAAATGCTTTCCATGAAAACAATTTCTAAATCAAATTATTTTTAATGTTGTGAGTTTTTTGCACATGAATGAGTACCTCAATTGAGATGTATAAAACCAATTAGACCCCCATTTATCTCTGCTAAGCAACTTGGTTCCGCTAATTTCTTTGGTCACCGTGTTTCACTTTGGAGCTCGCTCTGTTCATACATTCTGATGATTGAATTACTCAACATTTATTTTAGATTGCATCTATTTATTGGTGTCCTTCACAAACAGTTTATTTTTTATGTAATTTTGAAAGCCCTGCAGTATTATTGCATGAAACTGCCGTAAAGAAAATGCATTAATTACTTTTACATGCTTGCATAATTCAAAAATTTTAAGCAATAAACATTTAGTAATTGTCAGAAAGAAGAAATGTACTTCATTGGTTTCCCATTATCATAGTAAATCTTCCTTTCTGCAAAACATCTAAACACAATATCTGGTTGTTTGGCAGTTCTTTGTTTCTTTTCCGCCAATCACAGACAAATCAAGAATCACATTAAAATTTTATTTCATGCCCACAATGCACTCTCTTAAACTTCTATGTTCTCCTTTGTCACCTGGGTACATTGTGCAATGACTCTTGCTCTGTGCCAGATAGAAGAGCATCTTTTTCTTTAGGTAGAGTTTTTGTTTTTTTTTTTTTTTTTTTTTTTAATAAGAATACTGATCGCAGAAGAAGGAAGTTGTCCTTCCAAAGCTGTGCCAGTTGTGTGCTGATACTCAGTTTAAAAAGTTAAAAAGAAGTGGCATCATACAGCAATAGCCAGATGCTGAAAAGTGATCTAGTCTTCAGGACAAAATATAATTATATCATGACTAGTAGGTGTTTTCTCAGCCTATTCATATTCATTTTCCGCAATGTAAGGGAGCCTATTGCATATGATCCACAAGTTCAGTCATTACAACTTTTCCTAATGTCATAAGGAATTGCATTCTAAGCATGCTATTTTTCTAGGAATATGAACAGTGTTATTTCTTTTTACAGACACACATTATGGAAGCATTCTATTTTAAATCTATATAATATGTGCGTATATTATACATAACATTTTATTTACTGCAAGTTCTTTTAAATTCCTCCTCCTGCCTTTTTCATTGACTAGTGTTATTCATTATCACTTGAACCATGAACAATCAGCAACAAAATGTGTATTAGTAGTTCTTATGAATTATAATTCAGCTGAGAAGAATTCAAAATATCTATGCATCATGAATTCATACCTCATTAATTTAAAACAAAGATGCCCCATTGGACATTTAATTTGTTACCTTAATCTTGCAGGCCAGTTGTTCTTAGCTTCTTGTCTCAGCCAGAATATCACATTTTGCTGGTGAGCAGGTTACAGAGATATCTAATCTTGTTGATCTCATGGTACAGTGGGCCTGATGATGAAGCATGAAAAAGATATAAACATCAGGAGGAACATTAATCTCATCTTAATTTTCCAGTCAGTATTTTCCAGATGTCCTAAAGAACATTAATATTTGATATCACATTGTGAATCATCATTACTGAAGTACAGAACACACATCTTCTCCATTGTTTGTTTAAAAAATAATTAAAAAAAAAAAAAAAAAAAAAGGAGCTCTTCTCCATGCTGAGGAAGCGGTAACACAGAAGTAAATACAGTCACTGTCCCTGGGCTCGCAGGAAGGTCTCACCTCATCCAACTTCAAAAACATGCAGTAATACCGGGTAGTAAGGTTTTTTTGTTTATTCACATTGGGCTTAATACATCCCAAAGTTGGGGAGCACTATGCTACTTCGTATGATAGTAATAATAATTAATATTATCATTATAACATAATTGTTGTAAAAACAATAGCAATCATATGCTGTCTGAGATTTCAAGATTCTTTGGGCGAGGACCTGTTTCTTAGTTAATACACATATAGCAAAAGAGACCCTGGATCATGGTAAGAGAACTTCCTAGTGCAAACGAATATATGTATATATATTTTTGTTTCTAGGGACATCAGGATCTAAAATAGTTGTAGAATAAAACCAAATTCCTTTCTATGAATCTCCTGATGTCGTCTTTCAAAGGGAGAGGAATCACCTTTGTGAAGTCACTATTAATAAATTAACTGGAAATGAACCAAAGAAGTACAGCTGCATTTGAAGCCAGAATCATATATTACTACAGAATTTTTGTTTGGTTCTGTAAGAAGGGAAAGTTTATCTTGGAGCCAAGCAGAGAATAGCAAATTTACTATAACTGCCACAGACAAGTGGGCATGAAAAATGATCAGTTCCTAAAAGCTTTTAAAGCAGCAATGTTTGTCCTTCTCAGCTTTATGAAGGTCATAAGTCTCTGGTATTATCTAAGAAATGCTATAACAAGGTTCACTTAAATGCAGCTGTGTCCTGAATCTGTGCTCAGAGAGACAAAATTCCTTTTCAGAAATAGGCACTCAACTTCTATCTCTGGGAGACAATATTCTGCAGCGGACTTATTCAGAGATGCTGCCAACTTAAGACCACAGGCCAGTGGCAGAATGATATATAGGACTTTTCCTGCCAGAAAAGCACTGTCCAAAACTAACATAATCTTTATTTACTATTTGCTTGGCTTAGAAATTTTTTACTGTGGCTTCACATGCTATACAGTGTGTACACAAACACACACACAAATATACATATGCATATTTTTATAGATAGGTACATATACAGACTATATGTATGCAGACATGTATAGACACGATTGATTTCACACGTTATCTAGGGCACTGTACAAGATGGCACAAACAAGGGACTGGGCAGGGATGTGCAACCCCTAGCGCAAAGAAATGACTGAGCTAAAGTTCACTTTTCTTTCAAGGAACTCACCTGCAGGAGGTCTTCCCTAGCATAACTAAGTCCTGTGTTTGTGTTGACTTTACTATTCTGGACACAACCTGAGCAGAAGGAAGAACTGCTCATCTAGACCCCACTCTACCTATCTGCATGACATGGGAAACTGGCAGCTCTCTGGGTCCCCACGCATTATTGCTCTCTGTATCTTCAGAGATGTACAGCAAGACTAAAGCAAAGCCTACTGAAAGAACTTCCTAATGGGTAGCAGGGACTTTCTCTGCGGGGTTCCTCCCTGTATCCTTTGTGATGCAGTGGAGCAAATATCATGTATAGTGACTGATGTTCAATGCCATTAGTTATGATCCGTGGAATAACTCCTTGCAATATTATTCCAAAGGAATAGCTGGCAGCAAATAATTCACAAGTGCTGGAACTCGTACCAGCAAGAATAACATCAACTTGAACATCAGAATGGTCTTGGGTTATAGAACCCTTGTTATTTTGCCTCAAGCTAATTTTGGAATGAATTCCAGAAATAACCCCCTTTAGAAGGGGACCTCAGCTTGCTCTCTTCTCTGTGTGACCCCAATAAAAGTGGCCTCCTTTCTGGTGAATATCCAGAATATCTGGTGAATATCTCTGAACTCTTCTTCAAAATGCTCAATTATAGAAAATCCACAATCTTTCTAAGTAAAGACTGTAGGGTATTGTCAGTGTCAGTGCTCCTCATCTTATTATTCTGTGTGTTGCAGTCAATATGAGGTGAAACTCGGAAAGTGGCTTTCTCCAGCTGACTTCTTGAACTCAGAAGACACAAATATGTACATAATGTTAGAGAAAAAAGAAAACAAGTAGGAACATCTTCTCTATCTACTTCTTCAATAGCAGTTTACCATCAGAAAATTCATGAGGATTTTATAAAGAAAAGATCTGTTCTGTAATTCCTTAACAGATGTGGCAAACGGGGCAATGTGCAAAGTAATTTCCAAAATTCTTCCACTAAGTTGCTGGAGGGGTGGGGGGAGGGGATAGATATGTTTGACTAAACACTATCTGCTTTCATACTTCATTCTTTTGAGGCTGTTTTGAAAATAGCATCCCAAATGACCGAGGGAAGGTGAATTACAGTCACCTAAGGTAAAGAATATAATCCGCAGAACATGGAACTTAAGATATACCTTTCCATCAACTTTAATGGATGTTAGATGAGATCCAGAAGCTTTAAAGTGAGTATTTATAGTGCTATTAGTACCTTGGAATAAAAAAAATTATTTACTCAATCATGAATAATTACATGAGCTCAACCTTTCAAAATATGAAAAACATCTCTTTTTATCACCTACCTCATTTATGGTAATACTTACGGAGGTGGGAAGTACATTATATAGTCCCAAACTAAAGTTTGATGATTAACCTTTCGAAAGAGCCGTGTAAGAAGCAATATGCTGTGATCTCCTGCATCTGAATAGCTTGAGATACAAAAATCCAGGTTAACTCATCAATGCCAAACGTGCAACTGTTTTTTAATGCTTTGCTTTTACTTTAAAGGTACAGTGATATCTTCACAGAGTAACTGCAAGAAGGAATGGATTCAAAGGATACTTCATCTTCAGAGAGTGATATGAAGGAAATAATCATCGTGCTGGCTTTAAGATAGACTTTTTCAATTAAAGACTTAGGCAAAGTAGGGACAGCGAGCAAATCGTGTCACTTCAAGAAAGCAGTTTAAAACTACTTTATATCCCACAATCACACTTGGATATCTAAATTAAGTTGGACTTCCCCTTCCTTCCTGTATTTCCTGGTAGTAACAACAGATAGTAGGGCATGGTGAACCAAGGGTAAAGCTTGCCGTGTAGTACTCTGAGAGTAAAGATCTTCAATGTGTTGTTAGAGAACAGCTGAACTCTCCTAAACCTTCACCCTTCAATCCCTACTCATGAAATGAGGAGCATAATTGTAACGGTCACTGTGGGGTTAAAAAGATTTAATTTAAGAATAAAAGACTTATTCTGAAGACCAGGCTGGAAAAACACCTCAAATCAAACACAAAGGGTTTCTACACATTATAACTCACTTTTGCCTCTTCCTTTTTTTCGTTATTTTTTATTTTTTCTTCTTTTTCAAATTCACACTCTATATCAAAGGTATAAGACTCAGCTGGAACCTGAAACCAAATTCAAAACACAATAACAGTCACAGTTAGCTTGGGGGAACTGTGAGAAACAAGAACAAAATCACACTTTCTGACAAGTAGGGATTCACAAATCAATGGAGGCAGAAAGAAAGCAGCACCAAGCTCACTTTGGAAGTCTGTGCTACAGTTTGACGACAGGGAGGCTGCCTCATCATTTAGCCATTCCTCCAGGTATAGTAAACTTCGAAGGATTGCAGAATCACTAAGTATATCAAATACTACAGCTATATTTAAAACAAACAAATAATTAAAAAAAAAAACACAACAAAAAACAACTACAAACCCTAAAACTCTGAACAACAAATACATAGGCCAAAAATAACAGCTTTCTAGTTTCAAATCCAATATAAATGAGGGCAGGTTTTTGTTGGGTCATCCTCAAGACTTTAGGGGTCAGCTTGAAAATTTGCTTTGGAGAACACAACAACATGAAGTACAACTAAGGTATGAAAAAAAGGCTGAAAAAAAATATACGTCAATCATCTGCTGGCTCTTAATACCATTTCTGAGCATATCTGAAATTCCTTTTGCCACTGAATGCAGCAAACACTTTCAATGTCTCTCTCATGGAGCCAGGATCTCAAGGTTAAGAATATACTAAAAATACATTCATAATACTGCTAATGTATTTCTGGTACTAATAAACTAATAGATTGTTAATATCACTCTTAATCTCCCCCTGGAAGTCTTCAGAAAATGAGAAGATGTAGCACTGAGGGACACAGTTTAGTGGGCATGGCGATGAGGAGTTGATGATTGGACTAGATGATCTTAGTGGTCTTTCCAACCTTAAAGATTCTATGATTCAAGTGGCAATGCAGTTGCCAATGTGTAAATGTGCACCTGTCAATCAGTAGAGTAAAACCAAGAAAAAACCAGTGTATTTCAGAATAAGGGAAAAAAAACTGTATTTTAAAATATAATTTGCAATTACACCATTAAAAATTTTTTTTAGCAAAATATGAAGGCTAATTTTAAGACTGCAGGCACTGCTTTGGGTCACAGTCATAGTTGGGGGGTACTTCTTCAGAGGGACAAGGTCTCGTATCTGATAGAACTTCAATAAGCATTTGGGCGCTTCACACATATCAATTCATTTCAAAAGAACAAACTAATAAGAATGGAAGAGGCAAATTAAGTAAACTCAGATCAGTTCAGCTATATTGACATCCTGATTTTATCATTGGGAAAATATATAAAGTTTGATGATTAAGTCATAACTGAAGTAAGCATCAAATGTAAGTGCTAGGAAACATTTCAGCATGAGACAAAAATACTATACTAAGCTGTGAAACATATTTAGAAGAGAATTGCAAATATATGTTATGGTTGTTTTTTTTTCTTGACATGCTCAGGTGTTAATATAAAGATATAAGTATCATGAGCACTTCTTTCTTTTCCCTAAACACAAGAGCAATAAACAATAATCGCTACAAAGTACTCCCAGTACCTCCTAGAGATGAACAAATCTACAATTACAAGAACAGTAATAATAAAGAATGAAAAAAATTCTGCAGCTCTCTCTTGAGGTCAGAAAAGTCAGGCAGTAAACAGCAATCTACTCTTACAAAAGGAGTGTTAAGAAAAGAAAGATAGCTCAATATGTGCTTAATTTATACCAGTCACAAGCCAGTGCGTGTTCATTCTTGCACACTTGTATACAAGCACATAGACATATTAAGTGTTGCTAGGAAAAATGAAAAAGAAAAATAACTAGTTTCCTTTCCTGTTGTTGAGAGGAACGAGAACCTGTGCCAAAATTGAGATTTTTGAGCTCTCTACAATCAGCTCTGAAGCGGTTGCTTGCAGGCAAAAGAGCCCATTGCGTGACCTCGCCAAGAATTATCGTGGCATGGGAATAAAGAAAAACACTGACACAAGAAAAATGTGCATTTGTTTGCTTTAGAGCTCACATAGCAGTTTACAGCAGCAGAAGGCCAAGTGCATAAAATTCAAGACACTGATGCTGTGCCTGATCAAATGAAAATTTCATGTCAGATAAATGCTCGAGTGAGTCAGCTTGGTTTTATTTCCACTTTCTAGAGTATCCAGCAAGAGATGACTGGTGCCATCAGTGCAAGTTGCCACCAAAAATCAGCACACTAGGAAAATTTACCATGGTACTTAAGCTACTTCCTTGGATTGAACAGGAATGTCAGAATTTCCCAGTCTAGATAATTATTGCGTAGATGATGAGTAAGTCAGGCTGTAACTGAAGTTCATGTTGAAATTATACCATCTTTATCCTTTTAAGAATCCCTCTTTTCTAGCTTCTTTTCCCCCCTATTTTCCTCAAGCCATTTGGTATACACCCAAAGGTGCAGTTTTACAGGCCAAGAAGGGAAGACACTCCATTTCTGGTAGAGATTCCTGAAACCAAGCATATGTGCTTTGTGTTTGGTAGGAAGATAATAGCTTTACCATTTCAGAAGACTTTTGCATCCTAGAATCTGCTTCTGGGAAATGTATGCAGTATATTATAATAATCTGCTTTGCAGTTTTGTATTTTTATCCAAGAAATAAACATGGGAAGATGGTTAACTCTCACACTTGTTTCATTTTATCAGAAAATCCCTTTCATCTCTCAGACATATTCTAAATGTTTCTAGCCTTAACAAACCGTTGGACTAGACACTTTGCTGATAAACTGTCACCTGCTTCTTGCCACACTTTTTGCCTCACTGATAAATATAAATTAGCACCCAATCACATGCAAAGCTATATTAATGATTTTGACATTTCATATACTGTACCTCGTTTTACCTACACGAATCTACCATCTGAGTGTGAAAGGAAATTACTTCTTCCTGTTCTCTGTTCTGGCTCACATACATTATATAATATTTTGTTGGAATCTAGCTAATTTGAAAGGATAGAGTAGGATAAACTCCAGAATGACCTCAAGACCAGACATGTTACATCCTACACATTGAGCTATTGACAGTGTTCATAGTTGAACCCCTCTGGGCTACCTAATAGTTAGCAGCTATTTTAGCATCCCACATCTCTTCATTTCTTTCTCACAATGTTCCCTGTGAGATAAGTTGCACTGTTCAGTTAAAAAAAAAAGGCAAACTAAACTATTCAGACAAGAATCCAAACTAGATCTTTTAAATTCTGTTGAACTATGTGGGGGGAGTTCTAGTCTTTTGTCCCTCTAAGACTAGGAAACCACCATCCAATTTCCATTATATCTATGTAGTTTATATATGTATGTAGTTTATGCCCATTTTAAAAAACATTAACATTGCCTGCCTTTTTGTTGATTTCTGGATTTTTTTTCTTTTTTTTTTTTTTTTTCCCCTCAAGGTAAGTAAATAAAGCATGTACCGTAAGGAAATATGCAAATATCCATCACCTTTTTCTGTTGTTCCTAGTGTCAGGGAACCAAACACCTTCACCTATGATGCCTTTAGTAGAGTTTGAGTTTGCAGAGCCAGTGCACTCTGTCAACTGTATCCATGCTGCTGGACACAACTGAGTGAGTTGTACAACTACTGCTAGATAGGACTGAGTTGGCAAGCAGACTGGTCTCACTATTGGGATGCTCCCATACCAAAATGGAGCCTCCGTGTGCACAATGGGGCTAAGAGTAGCCTCGGAGTAAGGCACATCATTAGCTAACATCTCCATATACACCTTATCTAGAAGAGGAATTGAATAAACACCTTGAACTATTAGTGGAAACCCTCAGCAAAACAAACCAGCATCCTTTCTACAACACTGGGCTGTAACTATAAAAGCTAATGTCTGCTTTATAATCCACCATGATAATCATTCGTGATGGAACTTCAAGCTCTTTTTTTCTTTTTTCTTTTTTCTTTTTTTTTTTTTTTTTTGCATAATCTAATGTGTGCGTGTGTGAAAACCAAATAAAATCTTGAGTCATGTCCAACAGTAACATTACAGAAACAAAGAAATCAAAATTGAGTGAAACACAGCATAGTCAAAATGCCCCTATTTCACATGTACCCAGAGATTAGGCTGCTCTTCACAATGTGATAGAGTGAAAGTTAGTGCAGTACCATGCAGATCTCAGCTCCACAGAAGGTACGTGCATACCCCTAGATAAATGACCCTCACCCAAAACAGTACCTAAATATCAAAGAAGACTGCAGCCTTGGAAACTTGTGTCTGTGAGGATCTGGGAGTCATTAAAATATGTCTAAATTCTCTAAATTCTGTTAATAAGGTGAATTGATTTTTTCTTACCTTTTTCCATTGCTTTCTTATCTTCTCATAT